TTAGCATTTCTCATCTAAGTAAATCTCATTGGGAAACAGGCAAGTGGATTTTGATACAAAGCACAACAAAGAAGTATTTTGTGGTTTGGTAAAGGAGAATTAAAATTCCAAGGCTACATGGATGCAAACACTGTAGGTGATGTCGATCGTCAAAGTAGGTAAAGTCAATCATCAGAGAAATACCATTTGTAACATTTGCATTGTTCGAACTTCTACTATTAGTTGGATGATATACAAAAGATTGTTGTTTTATCTACTTACTAGTTTGAATTATCTTGATTCATCTGTGTAGTTTTTCTTTGATTATGATTGAGTTCTTTCTTTTGCTTTTAAAATTGGGAATAACCCTTTGATGTTTTAAATGGATTTGTGATCTTTACTTCTAAATACGAAATTTGTTTTCCTCTTTTTATTCTTTTCATATTAAACTTAATTATGCAAAGCATTTGACTGCCTTTTATATAATCTTATACACTTAATTATGCAAAGACTTAGGTTTTAAACTACAAATGTAAGATTAATTATTCAAGAAAATAATGAATTAAGAAAAAGCGTAATGGGTTTTTATTGAATGTAACTATCACGAAGGTAGGGTCAATTCAATTAGATACATTTTTATTCTCAAGAGGCAACAAAGATTACCATTGGTTAATTCACATTTTGTTTCGGTATGGAAGACAACCACCAGAGAACTCTAACTACTATCCAAACCCAAAACATTTATTAAGTGTCAACTATCCTATCTAAGGTCTAGAAGCTCCTATATATGCCATAGTTGTATCTCCAGCACAAATCACTTTTTTAGTGTTATGATCCCATAAATGATATTGTATACTTATTACCATTAATAGTCCTACAAATATCGATATTTATGATTGATATTGAGCACTTTTCGCAAACACGCACAATCTCTAAAATCATGGCATTTTAAATTACTCTTCCTTAACTTGGGAAGCAGTCAATCAGTCTCCCACCAAGATGGGTCAGTTGGCCTAAAGGTGATCAGCTTGAGGACATTAGCACGAAAGTGGTCAACCTGAAGATGATCGGCTTGCAATGTTTGGCTTGGATGTGATTGGTTTGGAGAGATTGGTCCAAAAGTGGTTGGCTTGGAATGATCATCTAGGGAGGTTGGTTAGACTTGGAGAGGTTAGTCCAAAATTGATCAGTTTTGGTGGTGGTTGCCTTAGAGGTGATCGGCCTAGAGGTGATCAGTCTTAAAATGATTAGTCCATAGGAGACTTGTACAGGACACATTCAAAATTGAAATCAACCAAAGCATACAATAAAAGTTAATCCATTAATCATCATTGAGTGAATCTCAATCTCAAAAACTTCTTTCTATAAATATTCTTCAATTTTAACCTAGAGATTATCTTTTTATCTTAACCTTCGTTAATCTTTTACAATCAAATGAAGTTTTTTTTTTTTTTAATCTTATTTACTAAATAAAATTTGGTAACAAAAAAACATAATCTTACAAAAAAAAATTATCACATTAAGTTTTTGGCGTCATTTTCTGGGATTATGCAATTTTGATTTTCGATCGGTATGTGATTTGATCAAATTAAACAAAATTTTCTTTATTAGACTTTTTATGTTTTTATCTATTTTACTTTGATCGCTTGATATTTGTGTAGGGTTAATTATTACCATAAATTATTAAGATAAAGAAATGATTAATTAAATTCTTCGCTAACTGTTGATCAATGGCAAGGATTAGGATTCCGATTAAACCCTCGTTTTCCTGTAGTGCGAAACTCCCTTTTACAGTAAATATTTACTTTCCTCTGCCAACATCCGCTATTGTTGACATCAATACGGCAACAGAACTTTCGGCACCAATTTACAAGCAAATTCAACGGCTGCTTCAATTCCAAATGCTGCTGTGTCTTTTGAAGTTTGATCAGATCCAAAATTCAATTGGACGCGTAAAAGCCGCGTTTGAAGTCATTTTCAAATCAACAACAAAGGACAAGTCAGGGTAGTTACTTTCTCGTACAGTTCAACTGTTCAAGGTAGGGGTGTGCAAAAAATCCAAATTGATCCGAACCGATCCATAACCGATCCGATCCATAATGAAAAATCCGATCCATTTTGAAAAAAAATCCGAACCGAACCACTTTATAAAACCGGTTCATTTATCCGATCCATTTTTACAAAGTGGATCGGTTCGGTTCGGTTTGGTTTTCTAAAAAAACCGATCCATATATGAGTAAAAAAGTGGATAACTGCACCGCACCGAACCGATCCAATTTCAAAAAACCGATCCATATTTTAAAAAAATTAAACCGATCCACTTTATAAAAAATGGATCGGTTAACCGATCCACTTTTATAAAACGGTTCGGTTCGGTTTGGATCGGTTTTTTGAAAAAACCGATCCATGAACACCCCTAGTTCAAGCCATTTTATGAGGCCATTTTTTGTTTCTCTACTTTAAATTTTTTTAATTAAAATGATTCATGTTAATTTCCTAATTAATTAAGTACCAGTGGAACAATGTGCAGTTATTATGTTCAATAATAGTGTTAAGAGTAAAATTCGTACGCTAATTTTTTTACTTTTATTAATTATTGTTACGTAATTTTTTATTTAAAAAATAAAGATTGATATGAACACCAAATGTAGATTGTTATGTAATTTTATTTCTCACTATTTGTTTCATTGTCTAATTGCTGTTGATATGTATCAAATCTATTATTAGTATAAATGTCTTTGTCAGCTACGTTCGCATTTATGCTTTTGCTATGGAAATTTCAAGGAAGTTTCGAGTTTCGGTGGTTGCGGTATCACAAGGAGAAATAAATTTAAAACCTAAAACAACTTGTTTGTGTGGAGGAGGTCAATTATATACTTAGAAAATACCTCCAAGATACCTTGAAATTTCAAGTTTTTATAGCTCAATTAGTCTAGAAGTGGTCTACAAGATCCCTTCGATGCAAATTACATATTAAATATTTCAAACAATTTTACTATCTATGGCTAAAACATTTGTAACCCTTATTGAGTTAAGGAAAGCGTTGATAAAATCGTATTAAGAATTAAGAACTAAATACAAGATAATAGAAGTTATAATTTAGTATAAAATACAATTATATAATACAAATCTATAAATACGACTATGGTATCAAAAAAAATCCAAGCTTGGATGTTGTTAAAAGTCAATACACGGAATACACAAAAAAACAACTTGATTAGATTAATATAAATACGATATAATCTAGTAAAAAATAAAATCACGTAGAAATTATCAAAAATTAAAAATTTGTTGGATATTTATGTATTTTTTTATCCTTTATGTTTAATAATTCATATATGATTATAAATTATTTATACATCTCATTCCTCATAATAAATAGAAATTCTCGATACATTTTCAATGAAAATATTCATAAATTTTTTCGGAAATGTAAGGCATAAAGTTTAGGCCTTTTTTTAAAAGTTCGATTTGACCTTGTTCAAAAGTCTATTTCGATGTTAATTTCATTATAAGGACAGAGACTTACATATTGATAGGCATATGGGACCGCAAAGCTAGATAAGTGAAACAGAGAGAGAGAGAGAGATAAAATGTACAACTTCACATTTAGCGTTTGAAAAACCAGTTGATAAATTAATTAAAAGTTGAACAACTAAAAAATTGACAAACTATGAACTGGAAGTTTAAATTTGACAAGCTACCTTCCTAAAGTAGAAGTATTTAATAAAGGAGGCTATTAAACCAGTTTTAAAATGTAAAATGAAATGAAAAAGATATATTTATAAATATTTTATAGAAATTCTATTTTTAAAAATAAAAATACCCTTTTAGAAAATATAATTTTAGTTTTCTCAAAAAAATAATTGTATACTCATTATTTTTCTCTTAAAGATATAATATTTTATCAAATGTTAAAATAAATGTAACAAGTATAATATGAAGAAAAAAAATACCTATATATATATAAGGAGAATTAAAATAATTTATATTTTTGTCCTCCACTTGTATTTATACTTTTAAATTGTAATAATCAATATTTTAACATTATAAATTTTTTATTTTCTGATAAAAAAAATTAGGTCAAGTAATAACTTTTGTTCGTAAAGTTACATCTTAGGTTTTGGATATTCGATAAAACGTCAATATTGAATATTTGAAGGAATATATGAATAAATTATGTGAACTAAACGATCATATATTATTAAAAAATAATAAAAAAATAGTAAATTAATTAAAATATTTAGTTTATTATTAGAAAACAACCAAAAATAAAAGTTTGGATTGAAGGAGTGAAATGAGATTTTATCCTAAATGTAAAAAAATAAAAGTTAAATTGTATCAAAACTTCAAAACAAAAAATAAGCTCATTAGTGTCAACATGGTGAAAAGTGGGCAACACTTACAAAATCATATACTTAAACATTATTGTCGTGCAATTATACACAAAAATACGTGATAGAATTGGCCGAAACAAAAGAAATCTTACAACTTTGGTAGGATAGAAAAAATGTATGAGTAATAGATGGATAAAAATTGAGGAGTAAAATAAAATGAAAATAGAAATATTTGATTTATAATAAAAAAAATTGATTATTTTTAAAATTTAAAACAATTCCGCGTATAAAAAACAAACAAGAATTGATTATCAATCACCTTATCAAGGTTTAAAATCATGTATAAAAAACAAACAAGAATTGATTTTCAATCACCTTATCAAGGTTTAAAATCATGTATATTATTCATTTTTGCGGTGTTTTTACAAAGAAATAAAAAGGTGTATAACTCACAGGTAACGGACATTGCCGTAGGTCTCAGTATCGATTGACAAACGTGAGGCATTGATGGGAGACACGACAGAATATTTTTTTATTTTTAAGCATTACTTTAGAAATTGTTTTGCGTGTGACTCTTCTAAATCTAAAAACTTGTCAATATTCAACTAACGTGTGTTTAATTTATCTTATTTTTAAGAATATTTTTATTATCAAATTGTAATCCTTAGACTAATGGCACTCCTAATATTTAGAAAATAAATAAATAGAAGCAAGTGAAAATTTCAAATCCCGCAAGGGGTGAGCAACATTCTCATACCGACCCGTAACCGAAAGAACCGAAAAAAAAAAAGAATAAAAATGGGTGGGTTCAAACGTATTTTTGGTTTAAACGGGTTAAAAAAATGGGTTAAAATGAGTAATTTTGGTCGGGCTCGGTTTGAATTTTTTAACCCATAAAAAATCAAACCCGACCGTGCAAACAAAAAAGCCCAATAAAAAATTCAAGCCCAAAATAATAATGAATGGAGACCCAGCCCAAACTTAGTAACTTATTAACCTAGTGCTGCACCTTAATTCATTTGTTCTGAAACCCTAGCGCCGCACCGCTTCCCTTCCATCCCGAGAGCTCGAGGGTTTCTCTCTACTTCGTTTCACAAAATCGTTATCCTTGAATGTCTCAGTTAGTCCATGCGATTGCTTCACTGATAAGATGTAGCAAGTCATGACCTTGTCTTAGTATCTCACTCAAAAACGAAAAGGTAAATTTTGTTGAGCAAGAACATGTTTGATTGTTTGTTTCTAACTTTGTATCTTTAAATAATTGCACTTTTGATGTTGAATCGTGTTTCTGGTTTATTTATTTTGAATGTTATTAGGCCAGGTTTTGGTGGTTGAAATCTATTGCACATGAGAGTAGAGCCATACCTTTTGAGAATAATACTACATTACGGTAAGTCGGTAATAGTTGAGTTAGCGAGAATCATGAAACATGATTAGAACCTTTTGAGCTTTTTTTTATTTTTGGTTTTTGATAATGAGTTTTGAAGCTAACCATATGTTCTTTGTCTTTCCTGCATAGGCACATAGGATAAGGAAGGGCTAATCCAGTGAAACAGTCTCATAAACGAGCTATTAAAAAGTTAAGAAGAAAAGGTAATTATTTTTAGAATTTTATAAATTTAACTTTTAAGAATATTTAATTATATTAGCATTTTTTTTTGTATATAGTGATTTTATATTTTATGATCTAGCCTATATTGCAGTTATACTTGTTAACTATTTTGTGATTTAACTTATATAGCATAATGTTTCCTTATTTGCATGCTTAATTATTATTTCATTTGATAGGACTATAATCCTTTGTTCTGCATGTTCTACTATTATTTCAGTTCTACTTATGTGTAGATGTTATTTTTTTATATGTATATTTTCTAATAAGTTTAATCATTCCCTACTTCTCATGGAGTCTTTTTCATAAATTAATTTGATAAAAGTCATACAATTTTGACACTAAATAAAGAATTCACTATAACAATTTAATAATAAAAAATTGTAGTTGGAAGTTATTGACCAAGACTTCTTCATTAAATTAGTGATGGAGCAGTCTTGTCAGAACCTACCAGCTACGACTGATAATCTAATTCAAGCTACTGCTGAAACTTCTTGATTTTCTTTTCCTTGTGAATTTTCATTTGGACTACAGTAGGATTGTCTGACAACGCGAAAACATCATAATCTTCTTCTACGGCTTCCCAGAGATCTAAAGCTTCTAGGTATGCCTCCATTCTCACTGCCCAAAGATCGTAACTTTCTCCATCAAAAATAAGTGGGGAAATTTGTGAAAAGTTTGTTTCTGCTTTCATCTCCAAGATCGTAACCTTAGCTCTAGATATCAATGATGGGATTATTTTATGATATTTATCTGAGGAAATATTTTATAAGAGTTATTTTTATCAGAAGAGCATAATCTAATTTTATTCATAAATTTCTATTTATAGAGAAAATTTGTTATACAAAATCAAATATTGATATTATCCTATTCTAAAAATAAGAAAACAAATCTTAAAATAATAAAACAGATTAAATATAAATATTTGAAATATAATTTTTCTAAAAATATTTAGGTATATTTCAAATGGTTTGTTTAACGAGGGTAAAAGGAAATTCCTTGTTCCTCTGGTACGTAGGTTCACTACTGCAATGAGTAGAAGCAACTATTAATTAGAAAAGTTTAAGCACTAATATCTTGAGAGATTAAGTGTATGTTTATTATATTGTTAAAATTTAAAAGATGTACACTAAATAGAAAAGATAGGAATAGTTATTTTATATTTTAGTACTTTAAAAAGTATAATTTTATGTTTTCGTTAAAAAAATAGTTTTTCAAACACGCTGTAATCCGGCTGCGGTGGTCTCTTTTAACAGTAGCAGAGCTTTTCGAGGCCAATTTTTTAATTGTCTTTTGTTTTGGGATATTATTGAGATCTAGAAAACTGTGATGCCAAAGATACGAAGGTGAGATGAAAGATCAAGTGTTTCTAAGAATTCGTGACAACAGAGACACGAGCAAAGGGAGGAGTCAAGTGTGCTTGTGTCTCTATTTCTTAAAGCCCACATTGGAGAATGTATTGAGTGAAAGTGAACTACTAATGTTATAAATTAAAACAGCTTTCAGCATAAAATAAACACAGAGACAGAGTCGTGTGATGAATATAAAGTGAATTATATTCTTTCGTCTTTTACTAAAGAATACCGTGTATCCTCACACTATATGGCATATGCTAATTTTTGAAAGAGTCTTCCTTTCAGGTATTTAAAATTTTATAGAATTCAAGTATATTTAAAATTTGTTATAGAATTTTATATTTTTCCTAATTTATGTAGTTAATTCAAATTGCTTGTTGTGGTTTTTAAATTTTTTAAATTTCAATTAATAAAGTCTTTTTTACCTTTGCACTAAATCAGCATATGATAAATTGCTTTTGTAGTTGTCTATCATTTTTCATTGAAATGTACATTTATCATAACCTTTGTATTAAACCAGCATAGGATAAATTTCTTTTGTAGATTGTCTATTTAGTTGTATAATTATGGTTTCAATTAATTTTAATTTTTGATTTTGTAAAATTTTTAATTTTGGTTTACTTGTTAATGTTTATTCGGACACTAAATGAATGTGATATGAAGTACTTTTAAGATCGGTTACCTTATAATCGATCTTAAAACTCCGATTTTAAATCTAATTCTTGCACTAGTGATTGTATCTTATTAGCAATGCCAAGCAATTTGTCAAAGTATTGTTTGATTGTCTTAGTCTCCTTCATTCTTTGTATTTCAAATTCTCTCATTAAATTTAATACTTGCATGCTTCGAATCCTTTCAGTTATTTATACAATTGTTCACATAACAACTGAATTATAACTTCCTAATAATTTATCTCTATATAGAATATAATTATTGTATAATTGTTCATTTTTGTGCATATATGTATAAGTGAATTGGTGTTCATTTTTGTGCAGATATGTGTAGATGAATTCATATCTATCTTTCAATGAATGGTAGTCTTACAAGGTTATATTTCTACCAACATCTTTACTGTAAGTGCTCATATTCTACCATAACCTAATTCATTTCTTCAATCTTTTAAAATTGTGACTAATTCACTTCAATTTTTCCATTTTAACTTAAACAATGTTACTATAATAGGTTTTCAGGGACACCAAGCTTGCTTTACAAAGTACAAAGGATGTCTTGAACATTGTTGTGCATGATTTGGGATTGCTAGCATTTTCTTCCTATTGCTATGTTAAGCCAAATATAGATATTATGTATTTTGTTTTTGAGGGATCTATTGTGTCTTATTTTCCTTCAAAAACTGTTGTTTTTTGGCCTATTAATATATTCAATTGGGCATTCAAAAAAATGTTGATTTTTAGCCCAATAATCTATTCAATTGGGCATGTAGTTCAGTAATTGATACTTGACAATTGTAGTGGATCAGTGGATGCATGATATGAATGTAATGATGACTTTATTAGTTATTCTTATGTTATTTATTTTAGTATTTTAAAAATAATTATAATATGTTTGGAGTTTCAATTAGTAGATGTTGGGCATCTTTAATTTTTTCTGCTGATATGCAAAAAAAAACTTTATTTGAACCAATTAAATAGTTTAAAGCCCATTACACTCTTACCCGTAAAAAACCACCCGTTCAAACCGAAACCCGCTCAAATTAAAATTTATCTAAACCGATAAATCATACGGTCGGGTTTGGGTTTAAATAATGTAACTTGTAGGTTATATCGGTTTAGATTATATTGGACCAAAACCGACCGTATCCGACCGATGATCACCCCTACCCGCATGATAATTGGCTCGGCTCAACGTGAAAGTTAACATTATTTGCCGTCCATCCAAAGTAAAGTATCGGCACCAACTATTTTTTATTTTTTATTTTATATTATTGTGAGTCAGAAGTCTTATCTTGACAAGTGACAACAAACGTCATTATTCATGACAAAAGAATGAAAAGATAGCACAAAACAGTGTTGTCTCATACCATCCCATTTCTCTCATTCGGCTTTGTTTGGATTTGAAGATAGAAAAGGGGGAGTGGAAAAGGAAAGATTTGAAGAGAAAATGAGTAGAAAGTGAGGTTGTTTGGATTAAGGGAAAGTGAGTGAAAAGTGTAGAGAAAGTTTGTGAAAGTTTGTGAATGAATTGATTAATGTGATAGATAGAAATAAATTTTTTAATTGATAATTATGTAAGATTACTATTTTGCCCTTAAGTTAAAAAAAATATAATTAATTTAGTTAAAAAATAAATATATAAATTTTAATTAAAAAATTATAAAATATTAATTAAAAATAATTTAATTTAAAATAATCATTTCTCTTGCCTAAATATTAATACCCCTGAGGTTGAAGTAGACTAATAATACCGTGTTTAAGTTTCAATTTAGATCATTAAAATATTGTGGGTATAAAGTTATGAAAGAACTTTTTATCCCAATTATAATTGAAGATCTTAATAAAAAATCAAACAAGCACTAAGGTAGTGTTTGTTTCCGGGAGAGTACTGTACACGAGCAAAGAAAGGTGTGGAAAGTTTCCGTTTGTTTCCCCTGATTTAGAACGAAAGAAAGGCGAAGAAAGAAGAGGGGAATCACTGTTACTCTCCTCGCACAAAAGAGAAGAAAAGAGGTGAAAGACACGTAAGATTTGTGAAAATCCAAAAATACCCATACCTCATACATGCAAAAACAACAGAGAAACGAAACATAATCGATTATTATGTTATATATATATATATAACATAATCGATTATGTTATATATATAACATAATCGATTATGTTATATATATATATATAACATAATAATCGATTATGTTTCGTTTCTCTGTTGTTTTTGCATGTATGAGGTATGGGTATTTTTGGATTTTCACAAATCTTACGTGTCTTTCACCTCTTTTCTTCTCTTTTGTGCGAGGAGAGTAACAGTGATTCCCCTCTTCTTTCTTCGCTTTTCTTTCGTTCTAAATCAGGGGAAACAAACGGAAACTTTCCACACCTTTCTTTGCTCGTGTACAGTACTCTCCCGGAAACAAACACTACCTTAGTGCTTGTTTGATTTTTTATTAAGATCTTCAATTATAATTGGGATAAAAAGTTCTTTCATAACTTTATACCCACAATATTTTAATGATCTAAATTGAAACTTAAACACGGTATTATTAGTCTACTTCAACCTCAGGGGTATTAATATTTAGGCAAGAGAAATGATTATTTCTCCAAAACTTATTCATGATAAAATAAGAGAAAAAATAATAATTTATAAAATATACATATATTTCAATAATATTAGAAAGGTCTTTTGAATGATGACCAAAAATAAAACTCTCATAGAAATAATTGACTAATTTTAAAGATGAATAGGAAGATTTTTCGAAATATATAGCACTCTTCTTTTGGTAAACTTATACCAATGACAATTAGTGTGTAACTTAAGAATTACCATGTTGAATCTTAAAATCGATATCTACTTATGATGATAGACACGTTACACATGTAATTGAGTTATTGTAGACCCAATCTAATATAATTACTTTGAGTCTTGAGTGATGTTCCCTATTATAGACATGCTATTCAATTCCAACATAAGGTGTTTGGGTGAAGAAGATTAAGGGGGGAAAAGAAAGTAAAAAATGTTAGAATAGTGGATTTGAACTTAACCCAACAAAATCGACTTATAATGTAAGGATTACTCTTCAATAGGCTTATTTTTAGTTGATGTGGGACTTTAATTTTTTTCAATACACCTCTCACGTCCAGCACTATTGGCCCTTTTTAATTATTTAAGATTGGCGGAACTTGAGTTTTTTTCAAAACACCATCTCACGTCCATGGTACATATATCAATTTAGAGTGGATCTAGATAGCTCTGATACCATCTTAGAATAATATATTTGAGTCTAACTCAACTCTACAAAACTAACTTATAAGATAAGAATTGTTCTCTACTTATATACTCTTGAATTATTTTATCTCTAGTCGATATAGGACTTGAGTTTTTTCTAATAAACCCCCTCACATCCAGCACTATTGAACTTACTACATGGATAAATTGTGAGTGGCCATTTTTAATGATCTAAGATTGATGGGACTTGAATTTTCCTCGATAAAACACTTTGTTTTTTTTATGCATTGTTGTTTTGACTAAAATGGAGAGGAAGGATTCTCCAATGAAGAAAAATAGGATGATAAGTGCTCAAATTGCATATTTTTATGCTTAATTTGGCACTCTTTTTGGGAGAGATGTAAGTACTTTTGGTTGTATTTGCCCTCCAAATAGATGAACTAAGATTAATCTAAGGAGTTACAAGAGTGTAGTTTCTTTGGTTGAAAATATTTCCATTTTGTGTAGATTTTGATGAAGTTGGAAATCCAAGGCTATAGCCCCAAAGCCAAAGCTGCAGCCACGAATCCTGAAGCAAAAAGAGGTATTCCAGAGAGTTGAAGCTTTAGCCATGAAACCAGAGCTCCATCCTTGGAACATTTTGGGCAGTCCAGAAATTCAGAGCTACAGCCCCCATTCCAGAGCTGCAGCCTTGGGTTAAAAATCCAAACTTTCCCTTGGACAGGACGTATTTTAAGGCACGAAAGGAAGGAAAAAAGGTGACCGAACAGAAACAGAAAAAAATGAAACAAAAGAAACACAGAGAGAAAGATCACCCAGGAGAAGAGGAGAGCTTGGAGATTAGACTTGAAGATTGGCTTGCTTGGGAACGAGAATCCATCTTCATTTCTTCTCTTCTATTGTGTAAACTCATCTTTTTATTTGCTATGGCCCTCACCATGAGTGGCTAGTTTCTCTTGGGTTGGATTCAATGTAACTACTAACTCTATTTCTTCTTAGATCTATATGATATTCAGTTCTATTACTTGTGTTTGATTCTTCTCTTAATGCTTAATCCGATTTTTTTTATGCATTGTTGTTTTGACTAAAATGGAGAGGAAGGATTCTCCAATGAAGAAAAATAGGATGATAAGTGCTCAAATTGCATATTTTTATGCTTAATTTGGCACTCTTTTTGGGAGAGATGTAAGTACTTTTGGTTGTATTTGCCCTCCAAATAGATGAACTAAGATTAATCTAAGGAGTTACAAGAGTGTAGTTTCTTTGGTTGAAAATATTTCCATTTTGTGTAGATTTTGATGAAGTTGGAAATCCAAGGCTATAGCCCCAAAGCCAAAGCTGCAGCCACGAATCCTGAAGCAAAAAGAGGTATTCCAGAGAGTTGAAGCTTTAGCCATGAAACCAGAGCTCCATCCTTGGAACATTTTGGGCAGTCCAGAAATTCAGAGCTACAGCCCCCATTCCAGAGCTGCAGCCTTGGGTTAAAAATCCAAACTTTCCCTTGGACAGGACGTATTTTAAGGCACGAAAGGAAGGAAAAAAGGTGACCGAACAGAAACAGAAAAAAATGAAACAAAAGAAACACAGAGAGAAAGATCACCCAGGAGAAGAGGAGAGCTTGGAGATTAGACTTGAAGATTGGCTTGCTTGGGAACGAGAATCCATCTTCATTTCTTCTCTTCTATTGTGTAAACTCATCTTTTTATTTGCTATGGCCCTCACCATGAGTGGCTAGTTTCTCTTGGGTTGGATTCAATGTAACTACTAACTCTATTTCTTCTTAGATCTATATGATATTCAGTTCTATTACTTGTGTTTGATTCTTCTCTTAATGCTTAATCCGGTTTGATCACCCGTTTTATGATTTTAGGTTTTTGAACTTTGTTGGGAAACATTTTCAAAACCCGAACTGAATCATTCACCTAATAATCTCTTGTTCTAGGAATAGACTTGATTTTGTTAGCCATTTTGGTTCAAGTTATTGTCTTAATGCAAGGTGTTAATCTTAAATCATAGAGGAATCATGTTTAGGGTTAACCACCTTAGGACTCAATTTTGAGGAATCTGGTTGAGCTAATTATTGAACATGGAAGTGATAGAAGTGGAGTCATATTTATTTGATGAAGAGTAAAAGAGTTAGAAAGTACATTTGAATCCAATCTCTTTCTCATATAAGGTTTTCTGTTACATTCATACTTTTGCTTTTAATTGCTTTATTATAAACTTAAATCAACATTTCATTCATGTTCTCTGTAAACAAGAAAGGAAATTACTAGTATTCCCAAATCCCTAAGGACGATATCAAATTACTACAACGAAGCTTGGTCCGCTTGCCAAGAGTGAAAAACCCTTCACCATAGGACCAAGAGATCCATGAAATGGAGGTGGGAGGAAAGGAATAACAATCATCCTATATTAAAATTAAATAGTGATTCTTCAAATTTGGAGAGAAACAAGTGCCGCATGGATTAAAATAAAATAAAAATTATTTATTTTACATATCTTTATTTTTTTTCTTTTACCAAATAATCTAAAAATCATCTCACTTTCTACTTAATATTTTTCACCCCTCTCATTTTCACTCTTTTCTATTTAAATTCCAAACAAGTACAATTATTTTTCTGATACCGAAGATAAATAAAAATAGAGGCAAACATGGTTTTAAAATAAAGAAATAAAAACTCTTCTAGTTAAAATAAAATGACTTTTTCTCTTCTTAAAGAAAACCTTTTTTTATTTCTAAGTACTTTAATTATTTATTTATTTTTTTAAGAAAACTAAGATATGCTCTAGTTAAAAGATAAGAACTAATTTTTTAAGTACAAAAATTTAAGAAAATGGCTTTTTTAATAAGTACTTTTTATACACACAAATTAAAATCAAATCTCTATATATTTATGAAACAAAATTATAATAAACTATAATGCACTTTATTAATAAAAAGAACTTATCAAAATTGTGCTCATCCAAATTATTATTTTTTTTTAAAAAGAAAAACCCCAAAGGCAATAAACTTCGACATTAAAATGTTACATAATGATATCATAAATAAACTTTCACATTTTTTTCTTTTATTTAGTGTGTGTTTGATAAAGAGGTAATAAATAAATAAGAAATAAAAGTAAAAAATAAATAAAAAGTGAGTAAAAATTGTGAGACCCTGCTTCCTTTTCTCTTTTTCCTATCCCCAAACCCTCCACTCTCACTCTCTTATGCTCTTGCTCTCAATTCTCCTCTTCTCACTCTTGAACTGTGGTTTTGGTGGCTGAAGGTACTTATTGAAGGTTTGAAATTCTTGTTAAAATCGTGCGGAGCTCCTCCCATCTTCTTCTCCAATCCCTCTTCTCCTCCGTTCTTCGTTTTCCACTTCCCGGAGCTCGAAATCTTCACTCGAGATAAGGGAAGCTGGTTATTTCCGTTGCATTTGGCTGTGTATGAGTCCGGAACTCATTTGTTGGTTAGAGACTTTTTTTAATTTCAAGTTGGGACTGTTGAAAAATGGGGTTTTTGAGTTTTCGGGGTTTTTGATAAATTTGGGGTTTTTGATGAAGTTGTGGTTGCATGTTGAAAAAGATGTTATTTTTGAACTGTTGGATGAAAATGTGTTACTTTGGCCGGATTGCATGTACTGGATAGTGATTTTTTGCAGGTACTTTGGGAAAAATTTCGAACTTGGTAAGGTTTCAGATGAGCTTCGCGCTGAGCGCTGTTCATCGCGCTGGGCGCGTGGCCGCCATGGGACCTCATTTAGCCAAGCTCGCTAAGCGCCTTGATGAGTGCGCTGGGCGTGCTTGAGAACGTAGGTCTCTGGTTGGCCCTCGCTGGGCGCGACTTGGACTGCGCTAAGCGCGATACCATTGTAACTTGTTGTTAGGCTCTAGAGGCTGCGCTAAGCGCAGCCCTTGTCGCGCTGGGCGTGAGACTCTTTGGGAGTCTCTGCCTCGTGGGCGCTGGGCGCAATTCCGAATTGCGCTGGGCCCGAGACCAAGGGGTAGTCTCTGCCTTTCCCGCGCTGAGCGCTGGGTTAGGTGCGCTGGGCGCGTGAGACTCCTTGGAGTCTCTGTCTGGCCTGCGCTGGGCGCAGTTAGTATTGCGCCAAGCGCGGGAGAGCCTTGTGCTCTCTGGCTGAGTCCCGCTGAGCACGAGCCTGCTTGCGCTGGGCGCGCTAGCCCCCTGGGGCTCTCTGGTTGTACTGCGCTGGGCGCAACTTCGAGGGCGCCGGGCGCGGGGATGAGACATTTCCTTTTATGTATTGAATTATGTTGTTGTATGTTGATAAGTTGAGTTGTATGTTGATAAGTTGAGTTGTATGTTGATAAGTTGAGTTGTATGTTGATAAGTTGAGTTGTATGTTGATAAGTTGAGTTGTGTTGTATGTTGAGTTGAAAAAGTTGAGGTGTGTTGAATATTGATATGAGTTGTTGTAGGCCGTAATGGCTGAGTTGTTGTAGGCCTCAAGGGCTGAGTTGTTGTAGGCCTTAACGGCTGAGTTGTTGTAGGCCTTCACGACAGAGTTGTTGTAGGAGAATCTCCGAGGTGATATGCGTGACGACGCATTTATATCTAATTGCTGGTTGGTTGCATAAATTGAATGGATAGTAGAATGTTGTTGTGTTGACGGTTGAAGTTGTGCTGATTATTAGAATTTTTGCTGTATGTTGTTCTTTTTATACTAGCTTACCCTTGTTGTTTCCTTGTGGTTGGACTGCTATGATTGTATGATTTACGGGAGCAGAACAGGATTAGGTGTTTGGTTCGAGGTGAGTCGGCAACTGGTATGCGGAGCTGGCCATGTTTTATTGATATTTTGTTGTAATAGCTACTAGGTGTAGCAGCTGGTTATGTATTTTTGTCGGTAGGATATTTTGATACACTCTAACTCTAGTCGGATCGAGGCTTTGTATATTTTTATATTCTAGATCCTATAATTATATACTTGCTCTTTCTGTCTGGTGTTTCCGGTGTTTTGAGGTTGGTGTGTAGTGATCGGTCGGGTCGTTACAAAAATAGATTAAAAAATAAAATAAATATTTAATTATTTATTTGAAGAGAAATATATGAAAAATATTAGATAAATAAGGTATATATAAGAAAAATGAGAGAGAAATGAATAAATAAGAAGGTGGAGTCTACCATCTTTTAATTTTCCACTCTCATTTTTTTTCAATCGAACAATCTTACTAATTTTCACAATAGTAGTTGAGTGACTTAAAGAACTATAAACATGTACTACAAATTATAAATTATTCTATTTTATTTAGTGTCAGTAAAGAACTTTCCAAAATATGAAGAAGTAAAATAGTGAAAAATACATCTTAAGATACACTTAATTATTAGTTAAAATTATTAAAAATAAAAAATTATATATATATATATATATATCTTAAAGTATAAATATAATTCAAAAATTTTACAATTTTTAATAGACTTATCAATAATAAAAATATATTTAAAAGAACATAATTAAAATGTATTACTAAAATTGTCATTTGAGTTACACGGTCTTGAGTCCCATAGTAATTCTATCAAATTCTACTAATGAGCATAAAACAAAAAGACTTCTCGTGCAATACCCACAGCATTTAATAAAAAAACAATTTCATAAATTTAGTGCCTAATATTTTATATTAATGCAAAAATGTCCTTTTTGCTAATAATTTAGTATCTTTGGTTTAACTTTTCCATGTTCTGACACACGATCCAAACCATTTTGTAAAAGGCGAAAACTTTATGCCTGTGCACAATCACAATCTCCATTGGCAGGTCATTTCACACTAAGATAGTGTTTGTTTCCATGGATTTACTGTTTACGAGCAAAGAAAGGCGAAGAAACTTGTTGTTCGTTTCCGGTGATTTGCGACGACGAAAAGGCGAAGAAAAGGGGGGAGAAGCGTGATTCTCGTCCTCGCACAAAAGCGAAGAAAGCAGAAGAAAGCCACGTAGGATTTATAAAAACCCGAAAATGCCCCTTCGCATGCATGCGTAGTGTGCCATGCAGTAGAGGAAGCATATACAAAGGAAGCATAATCGATTATGCAAGGCTACATAATCGATTAATTATGCAAGGCCATAATCGATTATGTAGTCTTGCATAATCGATTATGCTTGGCCACATAATCGATTATGCTGTATATATATACACAGCATAATCAGCATAATCGATTATGCTGTGTATATATACACGGCATAATCGATTATTTAATATTTAATATTTAATTTATATATATAAATTAAATATTAATATTTTTATTTTTTCACTTTTATATATATTAAAGTTTGTTTATTTATATTATACAATTTTTTTTATATTAAGAAAATCCTATTATTTAAATATTAATATCAAAAAGTGAAAATATAAAAAAAATAATACCTGTTTATAAAATTAAAATAATAATATTTTTTATTTTTATTAATATTAATATTATTTATTATAATTAGCATCATTATTATTTATTATGATTCTTATTATTTTTTTAATATTTATTTTTATTCTTATCATTATTTATTATTTTTTTAAAAATTATACTTATTAATATAATTTTATTGTAATTATTATTATTTATAATAAATAATATTATACTCATTTTAATCTAAGGGTAAAAGTATAAATCATATTTATTTATTAAATTTTTAATTTTTATCTATCATTAAATTTAAAGTAAATATTTAAATTAAATTATTTTTAATATTTTATAATTTTTTAAATTAAAATTTATATATTTATTTTTTAATTATAATAATTATAAACTTTTTTAACTTAAGGGTAAAATAGTAATCTTACACAATTATCAATTAAAAAATTTATTTTTATCTATCACATCAATCAATTCACTCACAAACTTTCACAAACTTTCTCTACACTTTCCACTCACTTTCTCTTAATCCAAACAACCTCACTTTCCACTCACTTTCCCTTCAAATCTTTCCTTTTCCACTCCCCCTTTTCCATCTTCAAATCCAAACAAAGCCTAAATCGAATCGACATATAAAATTAAACAAAACAAAAATGTACAATAAAACAAAAATCTAGTTTCATGACAAAAAGAAAAGTAAAAAAAAAAACAAATATTTAAAAATTATGAGAAATAATATACAAAAGACTCTCATTCGGTACAGTTTGTTGGACAGAAAGAATTAAAAACAAGTGAAAGAAAATAAATGAGTGTTTTGTTTAAAAATATATAAATAAAAAAATAAGAAAATGTAATATGTACATAAATAAAAAGTTCATACTATCCTTATATAAATATATATATATAGCAATAAAATAAAAGAATAATATATAAAAATAATTCACATCTCTTCTTTTCATCCATTTCTGCTTATTTTGAAGATAAATTATTTTACGTGAATCTCATTACTTTATCTGTTTCTCGTCTCTTTTTAGTCTTTTGTTTCTATCAACATTTAACTTCTTTTCTCTCTGTTCAACTTTTTCTCTTTTTATTTTCTCCCAAGTTTCTTTCTTACCAAACAAAATTATCAGAGACAAATAGGTCAAATCTATAAAATAAAATAAAAAATGTAAAAACAACTCAAATTCCCTGTACAAAATGCTACATATTAAACATTTTTTTTATGACATCAAACATCTTAATAATAATTACTACCTCTTCTCCAAATTTACAAAATAGTTTAGTCCTCTTTAAAACATGCAATATAATATGTTTCAAGTATTAATTTTTTTTACAAAATTATTTTTATTAAACAAATTCTTTGAGTTCAAAAGTAAGTAAAATCCATTAAATTTGTCTTGGAATATAAATAGTCTCATTTTTTTTGTTAGAATACAAAAATTTTAAAAACATGTATTAAGTATATCGCTATTTTCATAATAGAATTTTGGAGAGAACTAAAAAATTTAAGACACATTTATTGATCTAAATTTAAAAAAAAAATGAACAAGTTATTTAAATTTTATAATTAAAAAAAAAAAAAAAAAAAGAGAGAGAGAGAGAAATGAGGTAAAATATTTTTTATCGCACACGCTGGAGCATAATTTTTCATTTCTTATCTTTGTTTAATCTCCGTATACGATTCCACTTCCACAAGTGGACATGAATTTAATATTCTTCCTCCATTACTTTCCCATATCTGTCAGCAATCAGAACTCCAATAGCATGTGCAACCGCGCATATGAATTTTCTCATGGAAGCAAGAAATAAACAAATACTCGGAAGTAATCGAAGTTTCCTCAACCTCTCTCGCTTAATTTGATTTTATTTATGTTCACATATATATCATAGCAGCTTTTCTAAGATTGTATCGGTATGGTGGTTAAGGATATATAGCGATAAACATTGAAACAGAGAGAGAGCTAATAAAGAGAGGAGGCAGAGGAAAGTGGAAAAGTACCTTGATTCCCTGCTTAATCTGCTCGGCTTCGGAGCGCTTGTCAAGATCGGCGACCATGCGGAAGCGGCGGCGGCGGTTCTTGACGAGCGCGACGGCGGAACGCCATCGGCGGAGAGCTTCGAGGGAGGGATTCTTGTGGTGGAGCTCGAAATCCTTGAGGAGGCGACTCTCCATATTCAGAGAAAAGAGGAGAGAGGAAGAGAGGTGTTGGTTTGTGAGAGTGTTGGAGAGGCCAGCGAGGGAAGCGAGGAGTGACGTGGCGCGGGGTTTGAGAAGGTGGTGCAGTGGCCCAATACATACATAAAAAGGGAAGGGAAGGGAGTTTTTTATTAAGAAGGATGTGGCCTTGACAACACCATGGTACGGAGAATTTGCTATGCACCATTTGGTTTATATAGATAGAAGGAGACCGCCTGCTACACCAAAGTTTTACTTTTTACCATCACCACAAATACAAATTAATATCACTTTTAATTTATAAGAGAAAGAGACGCTATATGTAGCTCTAAATATTTTTTTAAAAATAAAATATATAATAGTGTAAACATTTATTTAGGATCGATTAATAATTATTATTAAAAATATTTATTTATTTTTCCTAAAACTTAAGATTATAATCATCCATAATTATGGAGATGAAAAATCGTTACAGAAATAATTATTTCCTTTATCTATTATTAAAATACTTCAAATTTTAGATCATATATTAGTATTAGTTTATCATGTCATCAATTAAGAAAATTTTAGTCATACTACCTAAGTTAGTTCATTTTTTATATCTTAATAAATAAGGTAATTGAATTTTATTAAGAGAACAAGGAAGTGAAATTTATAAGAGTGTGTTCAATAAATGCAAAGAAAATAAATAATAAAAAAAACTCTATAGAAAAGAAATAAAAAGTAAAAAATAAATAAATAAATATTTTTTAGTCAAAAAAATTTTACTAGAGAAAACAAAAATAATATATTTTGAAGATAATTTAGTTTTAAAATAATAAATATTTTATTTTTTATTTTTTATTTTTATATTTATTATTATTATTTATACCTATTATAAAAAGAATAAATATATAGCAGTTTAATTTTGAGTAGATCATTATATCCCTCAAATAATAAAAAAAATTATTTTTTACTAAAATAACTATACACAATATTTTAATATTATATTTCTATATAATTATTAAAGATGTAAAATATATGGAGAACTCTAATTATTATAAGACCGGTGGAGAACAACTATTTTTTTTTGTAAAGATAAGAAAGATTACAAAGATCATCACAATAAAATGTGAGTCCAGGTTTCCATGTTACTAAGTACTCCAATCCCTCCCCACCTAATCTTAGTGGTTGGAGAACAACTAATTTGATTTGATTAGGAGAAAGAGGAATTGTCTCATAATTAATTAAGAAATTTCCATGCAATTCCTCTCGAATTCTAGAGAAAAATAGATGAACTCTATTTAATTTTTATCGTACTTTCTTCCTCTTTTCGGTTTGCACTATATCAAACAATTTAAATTATATAACTTCATTACATTTTCTTCTCTTCCTTTGTTATTACTTTATCACGTCAAACACAACATAAATATCGAGATAATTTTGTTGTATATAATTAATAATTTATTATAAATTATATATAATAAAATTAATCGATAATATTATTGCAAAATATTTATACATCATCGTTGTAACTAAATTAAATTTTTATACTTTTGTGATCAAAATATTGAATTTTAAATATATTGAAAAATTAAGTAAAATATATTAACAATATAAAAACATTAAATTGTTATCTAAGGATATATTGTCATAGGTAATAAATTTATTAATTTTATAATAATTATTTTATAAAACATGTTTTAGATTTTTTTGTCTGGTTAATTACACAAAATATTATACATGGATAATGCATAAAAATTCAACTCATTTTTATTGGTTTGTAATATTTTTAGAAACACTTCTGAATTTCATTTGATTTATAAAATCTCAAGAAATGAAAACTGTAGTAATCATTGTTCCTACAAGACATCAAACAACTAATACCACATAAAGTTTCAATTTTAGTAAAATAAAATATAAGAGGTTTAATCAATTAAAAGGCTTTGGAAAAATATTGGGTTGTTTTGAATAGAATTTTATAATTGAAAAGGGCTTTAGAAAAGTAAAAAGGATTTACTAAATAAGAATTTTTTTTTTAAGTTTTTAGGTTTGTGCCCTCGTAAGTCTAATAAACTCTTTTTCATATCTAATGAAATTTATTTCATAGCATATTTTGCATGTATTTTACACTTAATTTATATTAATTTATTATTGATTTAGGATTAGATTAATATTTTTTTTTTGTTTTTCTACTTGTTGGATTTTATTATACTTTTATGTGTTTTTTGTGGCTAAGATAACTTTTCTACATGTGGTTTTGATCAGAAGACTAAGAATTTGAAGACTTAGATATCTTTAGAGTGACATGCAGATCTTTGGAGGCTATTTTGAAACCAATATGTGAAGACTTTTTGATGAAATTGAGAAGAAAAAGATGGCTACACAAAGTGAGAAGGATTCTCATAATAGCATAAGTGTGAGGCCAACTTTAAATCATTCTAAAAGTGAGCGTCACAATGGTGTGGGTGCCATTGACTTCTAAAAATTCCAAGCACTTAACAATTCATCATGATCCTTACACTTAATAGTTCAACTACTAGCAATGGAAAACATCTAATAACTAAGATATATATATATATA